TATTTTTTTACTAAATGCGGAATTCATTCCAAAAGTTTCTTTTTTATTGACAAAACAATCATTCAAATTTGTAATATCAACATTCAAAGTACTGACTAAAGTTCCCTTAAAGTTGCCAGAGTTTTTGCCCAATTTTTGTCGTATTTTCTAGTTATAAATTAGCAAAAAATTCTGATACAGATCCAATAAAAATGTTTTGGCGTGCATTAGTTGTTTTATTTATAAATAGTTTGATGAGTTTGTTGGCTGGTTTGGCAAGTTATCACTTTATGTTACAATTTTTGCCAATTTTTATTCAACGAAAACTTTATGGTTTAGATCAATGTAAGGTTTGCTATAAAAGTATTTTTTTATTTAATTTCAAATTTTCAGTTAGATAAAAAGCCAGTACCAGAACCTATTGGGGTTATCGCTGCAGCGATTTATTTAATTTTTCTTTTCACTTTTATTCCACTACCTTTTTATGATTTAATAAATCAGAGGGCAATATTTACTGGTGAAAATGGATCAACAAACATTGAATGGTATCTCTTTTTCGAAAAATATTTTAGTAACCAAGGGCGTATCTGAGAAACAGCCCCTTCCCTCTGGAATTGGAAAAATAAATTCCAAAATTTTTGAAAAATTTTTTTGAAATGAAAATTTTTTCCCTTCCTAATTCCTTTGCTCATTTTAGTGATAATTCTTCTTTTCTCAATTTGCTGTCTCTTTTGGCTGGACTTGTAAGTATCTGTACAGCTGTTTTATTGGGATTTGCAGATGATATTCTTGACCTTCGTTGGCGCCACAAACTTTTATTTCCAACACTTTCTTCTATGCCTCTTCTTTTAGTTTACCTTCTTTCAAGTTTGAAAATATTTAAATTCTTTTAATTAATTTTTTCAGAAAATTCCACAGCTGTTTTATTGCCACATTTTTTACAAAAATATTTGGGAGGTGCTAGCTTTTTGGATATTGGGCCGTTTTATTATGTTTATATGGTTTCTCTGGTTATTTTTTGCACTAATGCAATTAATATAATTGCTGGAATTAATGGAGTTGAGGTTGGACAGTCTTTGGTTATTACAGCTAGTATTGCGGTTTTTAATACAATTCAGGTTATTTTTTGAATATTTTTCGAAAATTTTTTTGGTTTTCTGAGTAGGGAAAAGAAAAGAGAAGTTGCTCCTTTACCCCTATAATTCACTGCGGTCCAAATTTGAATGGCTATAACTCGGCCAACAGTCATTTTGCAAGGGTCCTCTATCGAATGATACCTAAGTATGGTACCTAATGGTATCGAATGGTACTTAATCGAATTCATAGTTACTCTAAATGATTTCCTTTTTTGATTGAAATGTCTGGGTCTTGTATTTGATTTGTAGACATCGTTCTCTTTCATTCTACAAATTTTTCATTTAATTCCTCATTTTTAGGTTATCCGTTCAATAGATTCAATACAATTATGGCATCACGTTCTTTCCCTTTGTTTTATTCTTCCTTTTATTGGCACATCAACAGCTTTATTTATTATCAACAAATATCCAGCCAAAGCATTTGTTGGCGATACTTATTGTTATTGGGCTGGAATGACAATTGCAGTTTCTGCTTTAACTGGACGTTTTTCAAAAACTTTGTTGCTTTTTCTTCTTCCACAGGTTTTCTTTGTAATTTTATTTTTATTTTTTAATTCATTTTTAGATAATAAATTTCATTTTTTCCTGTCCACAACTCTTTCATTTCGTTCCCTGTCCTCGTCATCGACTTCCACGTTTAAATGAAAATGGAAAATTGGAAATGAGCATGGTAGACTTTCAACCTCACAAATTGTCAAAAATTGGAAATCTTTGTTTTCGAATACTTGGAATGACTAGATTAATTTATTACAAGGAATACATTAAAGATGGAGAAAGGTTTGCAAGTTTTTTTAATAACAAATTGTCAATGACAAAACTTTTCCTTTGGGATTTTGACAAAATTAGCTTATTGTTAATTCTGGAGATGTCCTGGGTACAAAAATCGAATGGTTCCTCGGTTCTAATTTTTTTGACCATACCATTATTTTTGTTCTGGCTGCTTTAAAATTTCGACGGTTATTAGAACAGGTTCTCGGAGCCAAGACGTAATTTATTCCTTTTTAAATTCCTTAAATTTAGTTGGGTGTCAATGAATAACTTAACAATTCTCAACTTGTTATTAAAATTCAATGGACCTCAATTTGAATGGGAATTAACAAATAAATTTATTATTCTACAAATTTTGTGTTCTATATTTGCCTTTTTTTGCCGATTTTGTTTGGCTCGGATTTTCTATGATGAAGTTAATTAAAAAAGAAAAAAGTGCTTTAAAAATATTGTGTTAATAAATTGCTTTACATTTTTATAACTAAAAATTAGTTAATTTACGCTTATTTTTTAAGTAAAAAGACAAAAAATTAAGCCTAAAATAAGTAAGAAGTATCAAATATTTAAGAACAAATTGCTTGCCATCTATTGCTTGCCATTTTTTAAGTTCCAAATGAGCATAGAATTTTTGCGCCGCTGTCCCCAAATTTTTTCCTTTTCCCTATTTTGGGGAGGGGGGGGGGGGTTAGAATAAATAAATCCTATGTTAGAATGAATAAATTTCGCATTTAGTAAAAAATATTTAAAATGTTTAACAATAGAATTAATGAAAATCATTTTATTTAATATAAATTTTATGAGAACTTAATACATGTCAAAATTATAAAGTTACGCTTCAAAAAATGCGGATGGTTGCATACTCAAGACTTCAATTTTATAGTCGAAGAACAAAACCACTGATGTAAGGATAGTTGGCGCAGAAGTAAAGACAATCAATTCTCCGTTGTCACCTCGATAGGATTTTTCCAGAGCAGTTGAATTGTAAAACGCCCAAGGCACGGTAGCTTGCACCCCACGCTTAGCATCACGAAGCTCACGCGAGTTTTTGAATTTGAAGATGGTGTCAAATACAGTCGCCTCCGCTTTGTTTGCGATCTAAAAAATTAGTGAGAAATAAACTAATCCCGAATGTAGAAAAATTTTCACGAAAATACACTAAAATAGCGAAAAGTTTTCAATTCTGTAACTGTTTCAGCAACCCAAAATTTTTGCCTAGTTTTGGCAAGTAATCCCAGAACCCTAGTTTATTAAAGATTAACCAACCAAAGCATTCTTAATAGCATCCTGGTTTTGGAGGTCAATGCCAACATAATCCAAAACGAGAAGTGAGCTTTCTTCCGAAAACTTTTCTTTGGACAACCACTCAACAAATTTATCACCAAGCTTGAGCTCCTCAGCAATCATTTGCGGCGTGTAATCTTTATCGAAGTTTCTTAAAGTAATATTTACAAATAAACAATTTAAAAATAAACTTTGTATCAATATAGTCTGGAGATGATGCCATTGTATATAGAGAATAAATTACTTAATCTTTAATCTAAAACTAGAAAAATATAAGTTTTGTTAAAGAAAAAGAAGAAGGAACGTTTGTTGAACCAAAATTAAAATAGTAGGACTTTCCAAAACATACTTCAAAAAATCAATTACAAAAATCAAAAAATATAAGAATGAAGACAGAAAAAACAAACATTACTAATAAATTGTTTTTTACAAGCGGACGATGGCCTATTTTCCCTTCTTCCTTCCCTAAGATTGTAAATAATGGTCATATCTTCCTCTTTTTCCTATTTGCCCTGTGGCATATTCAAGTAAAATCTTAGGGAAGGAAAAAGGGGGGGGGGCCAGGCTATAAGATGGAGCGTTTATGAGTCCAATCACAGTTTATGAGTCCAATGAAACATTTATTCTGAGTCGAGATAAAAAGGCTCAAAATGGTCAACGTAAACAATTAAAATAGTACGACTTGGTGGGAGACTTGTTGGGTGGGAGCTAACTCGAAAAATTCCAACTCACGGAACAGACAGGATAAATTGCAGCAGAGCCCTCGGAATTACCGATTTTTGTTTAATTTATTAATTTTTCAACTTTTTTTTAAGTAAATTTGGAAATTTAATGTCGCTGGATAATTTATTTAAAAGTGATGAAAAACATTTTATTTCTCCCATAATTGACCTCCAAAAGTTTTTGGCTGAAGCAACTTTTCGCAGTGATCGTTTGCGAAATTTTTTTGGTTCAAGCGAAAGTCATGATTCTCGTGATATTTTTCGTCAGTTTTTGGCAGCACGTGGATTAAATAATGAAGAATCAAATTCTGTCATTGAAACTGCTGAGTTTGTTTTTTAATTTCTAAAATTTTGTAATTTTTCTCTTTTAGTGGATTTTTAACTCAAATTTTGGATGATAGCCCTATGGATGAATATGAAATAACTTTTCCTCCAAAAGACAGCCAACTTATGACACACAAGTATTTTAACCTTTTTTTTTGTAAATTTTTTGTTAAGAGTTCTCCATGATATTCGACGGACAAATAAAACTAGTGCCACAAAGAATGCTATTGTGAGGAATGGAAAATATTTTAAATATCGAGAACAGGTTTCTTTGTGTTAAAATTAAAGTTCATTCCCCCCCCCCTCTTATCCATCCTCAATGTTTTAGAAATTGTCGGACTTTGCTTCTTTCCTCAGCTACACTATATCCTTATGGCTAGTCAATAAGTATTACTAGTTTTAAGTTTGACAATGTATAAAAAATGAAGAAAGAGTCACATCTTTATAAACCTTTTATTCATGTGAACGTCCAGAATAAGTTGAGGAAGGAAGCAAAATCTGACCATTTTTAATAATTTGAGGAAGGAAAAAAGAGGAGGTGTATTAACTTCAATTTTACTTTGTCTTTTAATAATTTACCAAAATTTGTTTTTAGGAGTTAAGGCGGTATTACACTCCTCCCAATTCCACTTGTGATAAAGACATTGTCCTTACTGTTCAATTACTAAAGCCTTACAATCGCACTCCAGAAATACAGGATTCGCTCAAGGTTGAGTTTTTTTAATGTTTTTAAAAATTAAAAAAATTTTTTTAGAATCGAACAGAAGTTAAATTTCTAGTCCGTGGAGATATGCCACTTGTCAAACTTCGTGAGAAAATATTTTGTGCTTCCGATTTTTGGTCGAATTATGAGGATTTTGAAATTGTTCCGCCTGATCCTGAATGTTATTTTGATGTATATTTTGTTAATTTTTTTTATAATTTCCTCAATTTTTAGCACAAATTCCCTTCAAGTTTTATTTTTGTCCACGACACATTTTATGTTGACAAAAGGAGAGCAAATTCTATTGATATTAGCGAGTATTTATTTTTTTAATTAAATTTTTTAAAAATTATTTTAAGGCCAATAAGAGAATTTATGAAAAGAAAGAAAAAAGATTTTGGAGAATTTTATGTGAAAGACATGGCTGGAGTTAAAATTATTGATTTTAAATTGAGACTGGGTCAACCTTATGTTTATGTTCATCAAGGATTTTGTGAGCATTTGTAAGTTTTTGGAGGCTTATTAAAATATATTTAAGAGATCGTTTCTTGATGTTTTCTTGGGGAAATAGGATTTTTCGCGGCCTGTTTTAACCCTGAAATTTTTTAACAATGAATTTTTTTATTCCCTCAGAAGCATGTATTTAATTAGAATAGATTTCAAAATGAAAACCAGTGTTTTTAAAATTCGGATTAACAGAAAGCCAGGGGGTGAGGAGGGTACTGGTTAATAAATATGTAGTAGTGAACAATCCTATCTTAAATTAAATTAAGATGTTTAACCTAACCCCACATATTTTGGTTAAATTATAAGAAATTTTTATTAAAATTTATAAATAATTTTCCCAAAAGGATTATATTCACCGATTTGCGTTTATTACTTCCTGGAGATGTTCAACGAATCGAAGATTACCCAATTCGTCTTTTTGACATCAAAACCCAAAAACTTTGTTGTGCTTGTAGCGACGAAATTTCAAGTTTTGTAGTTACTGAAAGTGATCGTTTGCCAAATTCTCCGGCATTTTTCTGTTCAACCTGTTTTACTGCTTTTCATTATGATAATGGGCAAAGAATTGGAAATTTTAAGGCTTATCATTATTTAAATCATGCTGGGACTGAATAGGAAATTTTTTTTGAAAAAAAATTTTTTTGGAAAAATTTGTTTTGCTTGTGATCTCATAGAAAAATAAATTTAATATTTTGAAAAAAAAATTTTTTCTTTAAATAATGTTAAAAATCCTTATAATTATTTTCTTAAATTTTTATTTATAATTTAACAATAATTTTTTTAGAATTTTTAGAAAAATGGAAAAAATAAATATTTCTTCAATTTCTTATTGTAAAATTATTTTGCATGCATTTAAATATCCACATTGTCAAATTAAGTAAGAAAAAATTTTTATTTTAGAATTAAAATTTTTTTTAATTTTTTAGAGGTGTTTTGCTTGGTAAAAATAATTCTGAAGGTTTTATAGAAGTTTTGGATGTTATTCCAGCATTGCATTCTGCATTGGTTGTGCCTCCTATAGAAATTTTGTTTATTCATTTGGATGTTTATTGCCGTGAAAGGCATTTGGAAATTGTTGGGCTTTATTATGCTAATAATGTTTTTATGAATAATAGGTTTGTTTTTTTAATGTTTTTTGATGGTTTTGGGAATTAGAGGGAGATTATAGAGTTCTGGAGTACTAGGCCAAAATTTCAAATAATTTAGTAAAATCTTGCTAGGAAATGTTCAGAACTGGTACAAAAAATTTCGTAATTTTTTACACCATCGTGTAGAGCAGGGTTGGTAACCTTTTGCCAATTTTTTGCTTTTTTGGCCCTGTTTTTTCTGTCCCTTTTTTGGCCCCAAAAATCGAAAAGTTGTAGCTGATCAGGTTTTTAGTATTATGGAATCGAGTCTCCCTCGTTTTTAATTAAAGAGGAAAATATAACAAATTATTTTTCTAAAATAATATTTTAAAAATTATTAATGTTTTTTTATTTTTAAAATCTTTATTTTAAAAACTAATTTTTACTTTTTTCCCACCAATTATTTAAAATTATTTTTTTAAGTTTTGACGAACAATGGATGAAAATAGCTTCAGATAAACTCCAAAATCCAATAATTTTACAATTAGAAAATTCCAAACTTTCATTAAATGCAGTCTCTCCTTGTCTTCGAGCTTATTGTCAAGAAAGGTTTTTTTTAATAATGTTTATTTAAAAAATTATTTTTTTCCAAAAAAAAGTTCTCAAAAATGGAAAGAAATTAATTATTTTGTTGAAAATTCAGACGAAACAGTTTCTTTAGCTTCTTTAGCTGTTCAAAATAAATTACACAAAAATTTGGCAGATTTTGAAAATCATTTGGACGAACCGTTAATTTTTGATTTTTTTAATAGTGATTTAAATGAAAAAATTTTATATTCAAATAATTAAATTTAATGTAAGTAAATTAATTAGTTAAAAAGTAAATAAAATAATAAATTTATTAAAAATGAGAGATCTTTAAAAAAACAAAAAAATAATTAGTATGATTCTGGGTGAGAGGAATAGGGGAAATAAATAATAAAAAATATAAAAATTTATGGGTTGAATCAACAATTTAAAAAATATTTTGGGAATTTCCGTAAAAATTCATTTCTAATTTTGGGTTGCTACATATTTTATATTTAAAAGTGTATATTTTTTTGATAAGAAAATCTTTTTTTAGTTTAAATAGAAAATCTCTTTTAGGAATAGAGTGGACCGTTAAATCGGTTGTGACTTGTTGATTCATAAATTATAAATATATGTTCGTATTTATTCTAATAGAAAATCTTATAACCCTCCACACTTTATTGTCAAAGAGAAGGTGTATTCCCTTGTTTTTTTCTCTTGTTTTACACCATAATTTTTGGAATTTCCATTTTTTGTTTGGTTGGGGTTTCCGTTCAAACGGCTATTTTTCTTGGAATAATGGAAGGACTCGTCCTTATTTCTTTGCCAGCCACACTATTAGAATAAATACAAACATTTTAATTTTCAGTTATTTTCTAAGGCCAAGGCCAAAAAGGTTTTTTAATAAATAAACGCCTTGGTCTTCTTGCTGAAGGAATTTCTACACTTTCCTCCTCCCCTCTTTTTCTTTCTGTTTGTTTTTGTAGTAAATGTAGACTTCTTCTTTTGTGATTCTTTTTGTGATGATATTTTTGTTTGTAATTGTTATGATTTTGTTGAAAAATAATGGGGGAATGTTTATTTAAAATATCGCGATGATGGTGATGATGATAATTGTGGTGGTGATGGGGGTGATTATACTGAGAAAAAAAATTATTTTTTTTAGTAAATGAATGTTTGTGAGACAAGGTCATCTTATATTTTTTATAGGAAAATAAAGGTACTTTTTTTATAAATTTTCTATCCCATGTTTACCGATATCTTTATTAAAGCCCTTTATTGGAGCCCACACTAGCAACGGTATTTTTTGGTATTCCGATAGGTGGTCCAGTCAAAATTCCGGGCTTTAGTATTTATTAAAACAAGTATTGGACGAAACTTACGTTATTTGTATTTATTATCCTTCGTTCATCATCCTCCAAAACTGCAGGATATCCCTCATCTTCTTGACTAATTAAAGATTCTGTCCTTTCAAGTATATCCAGCAATAAAATCAAGAAGAAAAAGGAATGAAGAAAAATACTAGAAAGAAATTTAAATTTTAAATTATCCTTTTCTTTTACATTCTCTCAAATTTGGATGACACAATTTTAGAATGACCTTCTAACCTACTTTTTATTTTTACTAGAAAGGAAAAAAATTAGGGTTAAATTTAATTGAGAATTTGATCACATACTTTAAATTGTTTGAAAGAGAGGGAATATTTGAAGGAAAATTTTTTAATTTTTAAGCAAAATCGTGATAATTATCGAGTAAATACTGCATAAAGATAACACTATTTTGCTAATATTTTGGAGAAAATTGAAAAAACTTAAGTTTTTTGATTTAATTTTTTGGTCTAATACTTTTAGTTTTAATTTATTCACTTTTTATTCCAGAAAATTTTTGGCGTTGAAGAATTAGACAATATGTGCCCTGTATGTCGTTGTTGCCACCATCTTCCCAAACTTATTTTATTTAAAATTGTTAACATTTAATTAAAATCTTTAAAAAATATTTTTTAAAGAGAAATTTAATCTATCAAGAATTTTTTTCAATTTCTTCGACTAAAGGAATTCGGGAATGATCAGAACGTTTGGGAGATTGTACGTTAGCCTGCTCTCAATCAGAGGAAGAGTAAAGGATTAGGGTTGAGGGTTTCGAGTCGGGCCAACGTTCGAGTCATTTTTATCGGGCCGGCCCGACCGGGGCCAAAATTCAATGCCCGACTCGTCTTTCGGACCGGCCGGATCGGGCTCCCAACCCTATAAAGGCTATTTTAGGATTTTTTTGAATATAAGGAATTTGACTTATATTTGTTGCGAATTTATAACCAAGGAAGAATCTCAATTTGATCTATTTATAACATAAAGATATGTTGAATTGGAACAGAATAAAAACAAATCAAAATAACTAGAATGAAAAACATATTTAGTAGTTCTTATATTTGAGAGGCGTGATAATTGAAGTGAATAATAACAACAAAAATAAAATACTAGCTATAATTAAGAAAAGATTGCGCAACAATTTCCTCTCCTTTTATTTTTTCTTTCCCCTTATCCTTTATTTGGAATTGGATCATCTTCAAATCTGAAAAGCTTTTTTTCTAAACAAAGAAGAAATTAAAAGAAGAAGAGTCTATAAAAGGAGAGAGGAGAAGATAATTAATATAAAATTATTTAAGAGGTTACACAATATATATTTATTTATTTAAAGTAGGTCTCAGCCAAAATCGCAAAAACAAAACCATCAAAAAGCAGGTTTAATATACAACGAAAACAAACAAAAAAAAATTGAGGAAGGACGTCTTCCCCCCGTGGCATTGCGTAAATGTCATTAGAAAATAGAAGCGACTAATCCAAAATTAAAGGTGAGAAGGAAAGGTGTGACTTGTCTAATAAATTTTAAAGCATATTTACCCACAAAGAATAAAATTTATGATAAAAATATGGGGAAGAATAATTTTAAGGAAGCTAAAAATGAGCAAAATAAAAAATAACTGTAATTTTAATAACTTTGTATTTAAAGAAAGGAGATAAAAATATTTTAAAGATCTCTTTCAGCTGGAACTACAGCAACACCCGCTAACCCAGTGCTGAGGAGGTTCGTCGACAGTTCATAGAGGATCTCCGGCAGTACAGGCGACCAGGCGGGACTACACGTCCTTCATGGGAGCTGAGTCCGGACTCAATCGCTATAGGAATATTCAGTTGCTGGACAGTTCGCGTGTTGTTTTAAGGACAGCTGGCGAGCACGCCTACATTCACGCATCACATGTCCGATGGCTGTAAGCAATTGGCTTAGTAAAACAAAATTTTTTTGCATTTATAGGTAATACACTACAGTTCGACGGATGGCCAGATCATAATGTGCTCCTTCAGTAAACTCAGACGCGCAGTTTTTCGACGGCGCGTCTGCAGCCATCGAGATCGCCATCAAACGACTGATCCAGAGCAACCACTTCGTCCAAATGTCTTCCGTCTTACGGGCTGTGCGGGACAAACGAGAGCGGGCAATTCAAATGATCTTCAAGTAAGTCTCGGGGAAAAGGGTATTTCCAGTATTTGTTTCTCCACCGAGCAGTCATCGACGCAGCCCCGTTTTAAATGAGGAACTTTTTTATTTGTTGATAATTTAAAGCTTGTTCCATAGCTTAATTTTTAAATTTAAATTTCGTTTTTACAATACATTCAAAAATCCTCCATTTTTTAGTCAGAAATTTTTTTGGAAGTTCAGCCGGGTTTTCTCTTATTTATTAAGGTCTGAATTGGTGTTTTCAAATATATTTAATTAATTGATATTTCGTATTTCCGCATAAAACATTTCGAAAAGGAAAATTGAAATGAAAGAATCGAATTGTTTTTTCTTCGTGTCTATTTGAGTCGAGATCTTTTTATTCTTATTTTTTGTCCCGGACTCATGTCAGATTTGGACAGACAATATGTCATTCGAAAGAGGAGTTGACCGACACCAAATCAACGAAATCTGACTTTATTGGACAAAAGTTATGACTAGTCGGTCATCCATTTACATGAGTTCCCCTCAGCGAGTTTTGGCCGTAACGGGTGGGGCCTGGAATCTCAAATTTCGGGTCCGCAAGGTTCGCGCCACGCCTTCGATTCAACAAAACAAAAATTCGAGGTACTACTGAAGAAAAGGGTGCTTTTTCTGCGGACTTATTTTGCGGACTTTTCCTTTCCTTCTTTTTCCCTTTTTTTTAAAAGATAATGTTTTAGCTTGTAGCAAACTAACTGTCAAAGGATTAATTTTTATTCGCACAAATATTTTTGATTATTTGTTATTTGTGAAATTAAATGAAAAAAACAGTCATCTCCTCCAAATTTCTGTTTCCATACAAACTCATTCATATAACTTTCAAACGTTGTTTCAACAGTACCAAATTCAGTTTTATGTCGTCTTTTCAATTTTTGCCATAGGATACTGCATACTGATTTCTTACATATCCATCTTCCATTTTGTCCACGCTTTTCTTTACGCATTTCTTTTCCACAATTACATGTTCTTTTTCTATGAAGCATTCCGAGATCAGTGATCCATTGTTGAAATTCATCATTGGGTAATTTAATTTTATCATACAATTTAGTTAAAGTAAAATTTTTTATTGATTGTAACATTTTTTTCGTTTATAATGTTTAAATTATTTGTGAACGACATTTTTCAGACCGGCATAAAAAATAATCCGTTGACTGTTAGTTGCTATAAGCAAAACATTTAAACAGAAATGAAAAAAATAAAATTCATCTTCTCTGTATCAATGTCTTTTGTTTGAATATGCCACACGGCAAATAGAGGAAAAGAGAAAGAAGAAAATCTGACCATTGTGTACAATCTTAGGTAAGAAAAATAATGGGGGGAGGGCCGTTGACAGTTAGTTGCTACAAGTAAAACATGTAAAGGAAAGGAAAAGTCCGCAAAATAAGTCCGCAGAAAAAGCACCCTTTTCTTCAGTAGTACCAAATTCGATCACCAAAAATGTTTGACCCTCCCCTATGGTTTTTAACCATTTCGAGCCCAAAGTTGCTTCCGCGAACTAATTCTTATGCCATTCGGCTACCTCATCGAGATCTTACCCTTTGATTGACATATTGATTGTCTAAATCTAAAATAGCCCTGAAAGTGCAATTAGGCCTAGCTATTTTTTAATCATCATATGTATACCTATTTAATTTGATTTTTCCTTATAACTCTTAAAAACAATATTTTTAGCATTTTTGGTACAAAATGCCGCCAAAAATTAAACGTACTTACAGCAGATGCAAAAAAACAACTAATGAACAATTTGTACAAACTGAAGATGATGCTTTACTAAAATTATCAAATCAACTTTTAAATGATTTACAAAAACATGGGACAGAGTAAGACTTTTTTTCTAATTAAATCACAATTAGGTTAAGAAATTTAAAATCGGTTTTCAATCAAATTTTCGCTGTCACGAATATCTTGAATTGTTTTTTAAGCTTTCCGATTTTAAGAAAGTGATTTTGGTAATATTGAACCTGACATACCCCATTTCTTCCTCCCTAAGTTCTTTCCTATGTATCTACAGAATGGTCAGACCTTTTCCTTCCATCCCAATTGCCCTTCTATATTTTACCTCCAAACAATCGAAACAAATTTATTTTTATTTCCCCTTGGATGGAATTAAGGAAAATTGAAGGAAGAAGTTTGACCATTCTGTAAATATTTACGAGGAAACTTGGGTAAGAAAAAATGGGGTCTGTCAGGTTCAATATTACCTTGATTTTCTCCAATACATTTACGTCGATAAAGATGTTATTAATTTAAATTTAAGTCCAAAGGAGCAGACTCCAGAAGAATCAATACGACGTCAAATAATTCTGTCTTCACACGTCAAAAAATTAAGTAAAGAAAATTTTGAACTGAAAGATCGACTTGGAAAAATGAATTTGAAATTTTCTTTAATTTTGGACAAACTTCGAATTTACAAGTTTTTTTTTAAATTTAATTATCAAAATTAAAAATTTTTAGAACTGAAAATGACGCTAATAAAACGAATTTATTGGATAATTTGACTGCTTTGAATTTAGACCAAAATAATGCGAAAAAACAATTAAATGAACAAATTAAAAAGGTTAATTTAATTTTTTGGAGTTTTATTCTTTCTGTTTCCCTCTTGTCATATTAGTGTGGGGCAACTTGTCAAGACCTCGTTATCATTCACGAAAATAGGGAATTTGGTTATCTGTCGGTGCGATCCCTGCTCGTTTGCCTTGTACGAAGAAATATTTAAGTTTTCTGGATTTAGGGTTATTTTTAGTTTTATGTTTTCTAAATTTACATTAATTTTTGTAATTCTATTGAAATTTTGAGAAGTCCCATAATATTTTCAATTTTTTTTTAAATTTCTAAAAATTATTAAATTTGTAATAAATTTAAAAATCTTTTTCAGTATTATGCTCACTTTGAAACAGAACAACAAAAATCGCTTAATAAAATTAAAGCAAAGGAGGCTAAATTAACAAAGCTTAAGGTTAATAATTTTTATAAATTTTTGTTTGCTTAAAATTGTGTTTAAAAATTTTTGAGGAATTTTATAAATTCAAAATATTTTTTATATATTTTTTTAATTTTCAGACAGAAAAAGACGAAATTAATTTCCAACTCCAAAATGTTCTGAACGCGTTCCAAGTTCAAAGTCGACTTTTAGAAGTAGCCAGAAAGGAGGCTTTTAATGCTAGAGAAGAAAGTAAAGAAACTGAACAAAAATTACAGGACAAGCTTTATTTGAGTTTGTTTTAAATTTTTAATTAAAATTTTAATTTATTTTAAAGCAACAAATCAGAGATGTGCAAACTGTGAGATTAAACAAAGAGTACAAAATAATTTAACTGACCAAATTGCTGATTTGAAGAATAAAATTGCAATGGTAATTTTAATTAAAATTTGAAAGTTATTTTGGGGTAGGGGATATTTTTTGTTTTCCTCGAATTTAGATACTTTCATCCAGGCCCGTAATTTGATTTTGATTTTTAGCGTTGCAGGCGAAAATTTTGGGGACTGCAAACGGAAAAAATTAACTATCTCAATTCCCTCTCAAAATTTTTCCTTTTCCCCATTTCTGGGGCCCCTACCCCTGGTACGGCCCTACCCTCATCTTTTTTTCCTGATTTTTGCAGAGAAAATTGTAGGGACTCTTTTCATCTTTTAGGTTACAAAAGGTTTTTTTTCTCTTGTCAGATATTAATTTTTTATTTTTTTTGTTCTGTTGATTTTAAAAATTACGGAATGAAAATGATGACAAATATTTTTTCTTTTTCCGTTTCAAACATATACCTATATTACTCTTTTTCTTCTAAATAATAATAAATTCTAAAAATAATTCCAAATAAAAATTAATGAAAAATATTTTTAAGAAAGAACAAGAACTTGAAGAAAGAGCAAGAATTAATGTAATATTTGCTGAAAAAGTAAAAAAAGACAAAGAAGAATTTAATAAAAAAGAATTATTGGCAAAGAAAGAATTGGAAAAAGCAAATAATTTAAAAAGAGCTTATTGTGACAAATTGAGAGAATATCAAAAAGCATTGGAAAATGAAAGGAATGGAAGGGCTTCTTCTATTTCGTGTCAATCTTTGCCTGAATCGAGTGCTTTGACTCCTCCTGAAGGTTTTATTGAAAATGATTTTTGGGGAAAATAATTAAAAATTGGGATTTTCTTCAAAAACTTGGGGTTGTTGACATTTAGTTTTTGTTGATATACGGGAAAAGTATGAATTAATAAGTAAGTTTTTAAATAAAAACAAAATAAGGAATTATTTACCAGAATTAATAATTTAATTTTAAATAAATTTTATAATTTTTTTTTCAATTTTTAGAGGTTGATAGATCTCCTTCAATAAATATTAACAACAATTCTGAAATTAATAAATCTGCAACTAAAAATAATTCTCCAACTAAACAAACTCAAAAAGACAATTCTGCTGTTCCTCCGCCAGAAAAAATAAGAAAAACAACATTTGAAGTTGCTAGGGGTTGGAAGGCTGTTTTGGATTTGGCTGATTCTTTAGATGGTAGCAATCGACAAATGAATGTTTGTTTTTATTTTTAAAAATTTTAAAGAAAAAAGAAGGGAATAAAATGAATTTAATTGGAAAGTTTGTTTAAAAAAATTCCTTAAGATTAAAGGAAACGTTTTCCATCATTTTTGGGCCAAAAATACGCGAGGCCCGAACCTTCCTTATATAACAACTAGAGACCGGTTCGAGACGAGATCTCGAACAAAATCCTTTAATTTTCTAATTTTCAGCAACCACAACCTAAAATGCCAGGTACAACAACAACAATTCCTCGTATGCCTGCTAAACCAATTTCTTCTTTGGCACCAAAACAAAAAACTAAAGCAAAAAAGCAACAACAAAAACAAATAAATTTACATCAACTACAACAAACAAATCAACAAAATATGAGATTATTTAATGGAAATAATTCTTTACAAAGAAACCCTTCTGATATTCAATCTTCAAGCAATACTTGGAGAAGTTCTGGAATTAGAGTACATGAAAACTTTCATTCTCACAATCAATCTAATAAAGAGATGATAAATCGTTCTTTGCAAAGTTTGAATTTTTTTAATATTTTTTAAAATTATTTTATGAAATTTTGAGAAATTCTGAGGAATTTATCTAACTTGGACTTCTTTGGAATATTTTTTAAAAGGAATTTAGGGGTTGAACTTAGAATTCAATTTTTAGCCGAAAAATTAATTTTCTTTTTATTTCTCATTTTTTCCGATTTTTTGTAAAATCATCTAAACATTCGTTTTCCATGTTTTTGCTCCCATTCCCTGACCTTTAATTAGAAAACCAAAAATGAAGGTCTAGTTTAATCTAAATTAATTTTAGACTAGTTTATTTTCATCAAAAAATTTTTGTAGATGAATCAATGCTTCGACAAAAAGCTGCCCAACAAACACGTCAACAACCAGTTCCTATTAATCGATTAGCTATGAATCAACAACCGGGGACTTCCAATCGACAACAAGACAACTTTAGTATATATTTTAACTAAAATTAATTTAATTTCAAAAAATTCTTTTTAGCTGTTAATCGTGACCTTTTACCTTGGCATGGAACAATAATAAAGCAACAACAACCAACTCCAGACTCTACACCATCATTATATAGGTCATTTTGGTGAAATTAACAAAAATATTAAAATAGATGTTTTGGAAGATTTTTCAGACTTTAAATGTTTTATCCGTATTTTTATTTTACCCGATATTATCAACCTCATTTTTCATTTTGTTTAGGAAAAAGAAATGGTGGTTTGTTTGGTGAAATAATTATTGGATACGAGGGATGGGACAAAAAAATTCAGTCTTTTACTGCTTCGACTCGTAGCATAAATTTTTTCACAACCGGTTATGTACTTATTCGTATTCCAATAAGAATAAAATTCCAAGCAAACCGCCATTTGTTTAAAGATTGTATTTTTATTTTCACATTATAAACTACCAGTCATTCATTTTTGTAATAATTTTTGACTTGGGTCAATAACCAAAAATGATTTAAAGTTTTATTAACTAGCCCTACCAGAGTTGAGCGCAAAAGGCAATCCTGAAAACCAAGGCCAAAATTTCACCCCTGATCCCTACTTAAAGTTTACTTAATTTCTAAAATTAATTTGTTTGGTTATTTCCCCAATTGGTGACTGGTATAGGTACCCTCAATATTTTAATTTTCTACCTTATAGCACCATACATATAATAAATTTACATCTTGAAATAAAGGTTTTTATTTAGTAGATGATTTTTATTATCAGAGCAGTTAAAAATTTTTTAGAAGTTCTATTTTTGGTGAATTGCTCAAATAAGTAAAGGATTTATAACTATTTAACAAAAAATAAGAGATTGAGAAGACAATATTTTTGTGGATTTATATAATTATTTAAAATATTCAAAATGAGATTAAAATCGAGAAATAATCAAAAAATCAAATCTTTTCTGCAATTGTTTCGTAAATATTTCGCTGCACTGGATCCAATTTATCAAATTGACGCAAAAGTTTTCTCTCACGCTCTTCTTCTGGCAAATTTAGATATCTAAAAATTTATTTTTGAAAAAATTAAAAATACTTTTTTAAATAAATTTCTTACTTTCCTTCCTTCGTTTTCTTAAATAAATCAAATGCTGTTGCTTTTGGCTTTTTCTGTTTCCTTTCAGTTCTACCTTTGACTTGATTGTCTAACTGAAAAATAGGAAAAAATCTTTTCGAAACTAAAAAATTGTTTCGCCCATGAGTTTTTGGTGTTTTTTGTAAGCTCCAAGATTTTTTATGTTTATTTTTTGGCAGAGATTTTTTTTGACTAAATAACGAAATTCACCCCAACGCCAACAATTCACCGTGCCTAAAACAACAATCCCCCATGTCTTCCCATGCCTAAAATTTTTTAGTCAAAAATTCAGAAAAGTTGGAGCCCAACTTTCCACAGCCCAAATTTTCGGGATTTTTGCACCTGACGTATTCCCAAAACATTTTAAGATAGAATTTAAACAAACCGCCATTTCCTTCTCCAATTTGAATACCTTCTTTTGAATGCTAGTAATTTGAGGTTCAAACAAACTATTCTTGTATTTTTCAAGAAAATCCTTACAAGCCACGATTACATCATGTTTTCTTTGTTTAAATTCCTCTTCAGCTTCAATAACTTTTTTATTCTAAAAATAAATTTTTTTATCAGAATTGAGGGATGACATTTGTGGACAAAACATTTACTTATTGAATCAAAAAAAAGGTTTTATGTAAGATATTAAGTGTCCGCAAATGTCTGTCCGCAACTTTCATTTATTCGAAAAAAACAAACATCTTTATCTCTAAAAGTATCCCTCAAATTGTTATTTTTTCCAAATAATTGTGCCTGATCCACTCCACATTTATTTATAAAAATATGCCAAAGAGATTTTAATTTTGGAAATTCTGGATAACGTTGAAGAATATGATCAGTTTGAACAAAATCCATAACTTTTTTAAGTGCTTCAGCCATAGGAACTTCTGACATTAATGTTGCCCAACGATAAAATTGAACAAAACAAGCTTGTAATTGACTAAAAAAATTTAAAGAGGTCTTGAAAATGAAATAATTACGCTAAATCGTAAGAAGGATCAACATTTGGGACATCTCGTAAAAGCGTATTAAATTTAACATTGGCTTTTCTACCAGTCAAATGTAAGGTTTTCTGCTCATCCAGATCCAAAAGATACTGAAAAAAACAAAAATAAAATTTAAAAACAAATTAAAAGTCGGAAACTAAACGCTTTTAACACAAAAGTAATTTTCTTTAAAATATATAAACGTTCACCTATTTCACTTAATAAACCTCCAAAAAATGGTACTTATTTAGTTTCCCACCCCCAGTCAATTTTTTTGGAAAATATGTAAAAATGGTCAGTCTGAACAACAATTGTAGAACCGATCGAGCTGTGTCGAATGACACCAAAATCGACAAAATCCGACTTGATTTGACCGAGATACAGACCCCTGAAAATTGAACAACCACAGGGGCAATTTTTTGAAATGAAAAAAATTAAATAAATGATAGCTCATTCGAAAGAGCTTGTCGAGCTGAGTCGAATGAGACCAAAATCAACGAAATCCGACTTGATTTGACAAAGTTATGACATAAGGTTGCCGACTCCGGTAGGTCTAAATAATGTCATAACTTTGTCAAAACTCGTCCGATTACGTTAATTTCGGTGTTATTCGATCATCTCGACGAGCTCTTTCAAATAAGCTATCATTTGTATACTTTTTCGTCCTTTTGGTTTTTCGCCCCTGTGGTTGTTCAATTTTCAGGGGTCTGTATCTCGGTCAAATCAAGTCGGATTTTGTCGATTTTGGTGTCATTCGACACAGCTCGATCGGTTCTACAATTGTTGTTCAGACTGACCATTTTTACATATTTTCCAAAAAAATTGACTGGGGGTGGGAAACTAAATAAGTACCCAAAAAATCTCTTTAATTATTAAAAATAACCTTGCAAAAGCTATACATATCCTTCGGCATAACATTAACTGCCGGAGTATTTGAAGTTATAGAACCATCACGTTCATGCATTTTTTCCAAATCAACTTCATCTTCTTCAGAATGTGAATAGTCGGCCGCTTTTGGTTCCTTTATTTGACTTGTAGAAGGGATTAAATTGTTGTTATTAGTAGAAGCTCCAACAAAACTAGCATCGCCACCATCAGTCATTGAATCGTCCAAAATTCGTTTCTTTTTCTTCTTTTTCTTTTGGTGAGACTGAATATATATTAAACAATTTTGTTTTAAATTTAAAAATAACCGTATTTTCAACAGAATCTATCCTTGCAGTAGTAACTTCAGAAAATGATGCATGAGGAGTTTCGAGAACAATACTTTCATCTTTATGATCGCCGTTGTTCTGGCAAGATTCTTCTTCGTGTTTCCTCTTTTTTGCTTTTTGAAGTGACTAAAAAATGTCTTTAAAAAGTTAAGATAGAATCCGTAAGGTTCTTATTTAGTAAAGATCTGATAGAAGACATACCCACTGTGGGGAAGAAGGAGGTAATGGGGCAGAGTAAAAGGGTCATTTTCCTTAAGAAAAACTTAAGAAAAAGATAACCTCAGCTTGGCTTGTAGATTGATGACCTTTGACTGGCGATCCAGAAGTTGATGTTATTTCGTCTTTTAATTTTCCCATTAAGCAATTATTAAATATCCAAAATACTTTAATGAAACAATACTAAGTGTAAACAAAACTAAAATAAATAAAAACACGGAATAAAAGAAAGCAAGTGTAAGCAAAAGAAATAAAAAAAAGTAGACTTAAAGAAAAAATCAATTCGTTTCTTCCATTTCAAATGTTTCCATTTCGAAATCTTTCCTGCCAAGAAAAATACAAAATATCAATTAATTAAATATATTACAAAACACCCAATAAAATTTTGGTAAGAAGTCATTAGAGTCTCGCATTTTTTTTAAATAAAAATTACAATATTTTGTGTTGGAAATTAATCTTTTAATTGAGGTTCCGTTTTAATTTTAAATTTTATTCTATCCTAACCATCTACTAAATATTCTATCCAGAAATCTGTCTTCTCTTCCTTTATTTGATGAGGACTCTCTCGGAGAGAATGGCCAATCCCAATTATCAGAATTACTTCCTCCATTCCTTCCTCTACTTCTACGGCTCCGGTACAAAATATGGAATCGTTAAAATATGGAATGGTTAAAATCGCGAATAGGCTAAAAAGGGGTTAAAATACCGAATCGTTAAAATATGGAAACGTTAAAATATCGAATCGGGTAAAAAAGGGTTAAAATATGGAATCGTTAAAATATGGAATGGTAAAAATGTCGACACGGCCAAAATCTGTCAAAATGTCGAATTCTTTTAAAAAAGGGTCAGATGAGTGCCATACGTTGATTGTAGATGATTTTATCAACTTATTAATGATAAGTTGATTGATAAGTCTCTTATGTCGTAGTCCGGCGCAATCTTTTCTGCCAGAGTTCATTGTATTTTACCGAGTAAAACCGGACCGGATAAATCAAGCATAATCGACCGGATCCGATCCGGCATGATCGTACGGATCCGGAAAACATAACGCGATCCTGATATGGAAAAATTAGAGTGGTGTGCATTAGTTTTTAGTTAAGACCTAAAGTTTGACCATACCGTATACGGTACGAAATACCGAAAAATACCGATCAGCTTTTAAATTTTATCGGTCGGATTCCGTACCGTACTACCGACACGGAATATCGAAAAATACCATCGGTAACACCCGGTAACGCCCGGATTCTAGTTTTGGCGCCATTTTTAAAAAATTCGACATTTTGATCGATTTTGGCCGTGTCGACATTTTTACCATTCCATATTTTAACGATTCCATATTTTAACCCTTTTTTAGCCTATTCGATATTTTAACCATTCCATATTTTAACGATTCGGTATTTTAACCCCTTTTTCGCCTATTCGCGATTTTAACCCATTTTTACCCGATTCGAGATTTTAACCCTTTTTTAGCCTATTCCATATTTTAACGATTCGATATTTTGTCCGGACACGACTTCTACTTCCAAAATTACTTTCTTCTCCTCTCCCTAAACCTAAAAATGAGAGAAACTGACAAAAATATGATTGGGATAAAAATTATTTTCTTCTTTCCTCTTTACCGTAAATTGCTTGAATAGCTCGAATATCGTCGCTTCTTAACAAAAATTTTATTAACAATTTTTCAGAATGTTTTATATTAAATACTTTAGTCGAGGCATAACATAAACACCGTTTTCGACAGTTTCTTGATAAAATGGTGCCATTATTGCATCTTCAACTTTGGAATGTGAAAGTCCCAGAGTGTGTCCAATTTCATGAACAGTCACTAATATATTCTTTATAAAGTTTAAAGGAAATAAGGGCAATCTCTTTCTTATCCAACCCTTTTGGATTCGAGAATTGAATATGAAATACGATAGTCTATAAAAGGATTTTAGTTTACATACCTGGGTAGAGATCAGTATAACGACTACTGAAAATTAAAGAAAAATTATTTTGGCTAATGTACTAAGAGGAGAATCAGAAAAATTGTGAGGACACATTGTACATATGAGAGAAATTCTGATTTTTCTTAAATTCTGAAAACTAACGTTCCAATTTTATTAGCATCTTCTGGTCCTAATGCCCAATTCTCGCTTTCCTTAAAATTTTTTTTAAATAAATCAAATTAATTAAAAACATCAAAATGAAGTTTTCCATCTTTTGGCATTGTTGCGTGAGCTAAAACTCCTCCTACAAAAAAATATATTTTCAGAACTTGTAATTCTTTTTACCTCTCCCATCAAAAGGCCATGGATCTCCATGACTTCCAGAAGCAAAAATCTTTTTAAATTAAAACAGTTTTCTTTTAGTCAAAATTTCAAGTATATCCCAGCACCTTGGAAACACTCACCCCCGACCCGGTTATGACTTTTTGTGAGTCGGAATGGAAATTTTGACTGAAACTTGGAATAACTTAAAAATGATAATTTGTTTTGGGATAAGAAGGAGCTTCCCCTCTTTTAAAATTTATCCATCTTACTTACAATGTTAATATCAGCCGTTCCACTAGTTTCTTCAAATCTTATTGGTATAACAGCTGACCTTTAAGATTTTTTATTTATATTACTTTCTATATTTATTGTGTACCATGTTTGGAATGCACGTCTAATAGCGTCTCTAAAATAATGAATGAATATTTTTAATTTTTCGACTCTACCACTTGTCCCAACTCTCTAAATTAGTTTAAATTAGGATAACTAAGGATATGATAAATTAAGGGATAATTAATATGTTGGACAACTAAACAATACTATGCTTGAGTGAAGGGAATAATTAACGTTATCGGTCTGTAATAGTGGGAAATGTTCAATATTTATAGGAATAAGTCGGAACGTTTATCTTTATTAATTTTTTCTACCTTTGCCTTGAAGATGACAAATCTGGAGAGAAATTATGTATTGAATATTTAATTAAAGATTTATCCCATTTAAATTGACTAGCCCCTCTATTGTTAGTAATCATTTCAACATCTTGCATTCCACAACGTTTTTTAGCCATTTTCTTTTTTGTTTTAACATCAAGTTTTCCGGTAACTGGCTAATATATAAATTTAATTTTAAATTAATTAAATATTAATATTTACTCACTAAATGCGCAAAAAGTTGAAATTTTTTGATGGCATCATTTATTGGGCTAAGTAAAATTTGAAAATTTTATATCAAAATTTAACATATAGAGATTTATATAGGTAGGGATTAGCGGAAAAGGTAGTTAGGAAGGACTTGAAGTTAAAAAAAGTAGATTAAGGGACCAACTCTCCATTTTATCTGAGGGTGTTTGTGTAGGGGACTTATATAAGGGACTGAATTAATCTCTGGATATCTGATGTTTATGACTGCGGTTCTAACTTTTTTAATCAGTTGGGAATCTTGTTCCTTAAAGGACCTTTCCCCAAAAATTCCTTCAAAACCCACTCGAAGCCTCCCCCAGAACCGCGATTGTTGTTAAGCTCTCCGGGTGGAACATAACCAAAATCTTGTAAATATTTCTTAAAAAATAAAATTAATAAAGAAAATCTTTATTATTAACCATAGCCTTTTCATTAGATACAGGCTTTTCTTCTTCATTATTATCACCAAATAAATTATCGAGAAAATCTGTACTGACAAAAGGAATTGTTGTAATTGAAAGAATAATAATTAAATTAATAATTAAATATTTTTTCCTTTCCATATTCAAAAAATAAAATTTTATTTTAATTTATAAACTTTGAAAAGAAGTCATTGTAAGAAGGCGAGGAATGAAAAATTCAATGAGAGGAATTTTTGAATTTTCAACTATTTTTCATCTTAAATTTAGTGTAGAAACTTCGCCTTCAAGTCAGGCTTAGTCAAAGTTTTTGTGGGATGGCTTGCATTGAAAGAAGGCGAGAGCTACAGCTTGTCGAGCTTTTCTAACTCTTGGAGAAATAAAAATAAATTTTTTGAAAGAATTAACTCAATAAATTATTTTGGTGATTGATTTGCTATTTTTTAATTGCAATTGAACATTGAGAGAGAAAAGCACGAAAACAAAAAGATTGAAAAATTAAAATACAAAGAAGACAGCAAATCAGGTTCCGATGGAGGCCATTTAAATTAACAAAAAAATTTTTTTTGTATTTTCTTAGTCAATAAAATGAGGAATTCTTTAAAAGAATATTAAAATAATTTTTTACAAAATTTAAATTTTTGTCATAATTTTTAACAAAATTTATTTTAAAAAATTCTTTGAATTTTTATAAACTTTTCTTTTTATTAAAATTTACAACCTCTTTGTGCGTAAATAGAACAAAAAATAAGTAAATAAAAACAAGCATACATATAAAGCTTTTTTTCTTAAAAAAGGAATTTTCTTGTATATAAAATCAAAAAAATAAATAATTTAAATTTTTGTCAAACAAAAAATCTTTGTAGTTTTAATAAATTTTATATTCCTTCCCCCTCCCTTCTCTTCCTTTGATGACTCACAATTCAATAATATCATCATTACTATTCTCTTGATCATTTACTAATTTTGTAGTTATTTGTTGTTGTTGTATTTTTTCTTCTTTTTCTGTTTTGTGTAAACGAAAAAATTTAATTAAAGCCCCCAAAGCTTCAGAAAAATTTGAAGAATTAATTAATCTTTGTTTTATCCAATTAGGTAATCCATTCCCTAAGAATTGCTGAGTAAATCGAGAATCTAACAATAATATAACTGCATAATCATTTTTGTGTCTAATAACACGCCCAATTGCTTGATTTAATGATTGAAGACATAATTGCTCGTAAAAACGATTTCCGGCACCTGGACCATTTGTTTGTTCAACAAACTGAAATTTTTAAATAAAAATGGGATTAAAGATGGGTTTAATTTTTTCAATCCCCTACTTAGAACCTTTACAATTTTTAAAGCCTAGAAAAATGTGAAGTAAAACATGGGAAAAGGAATATCTGGGATATTAGAATATATTTTGTTGTGTCCCCTCAATTTTTATCCCGATGTTATATTATATATAAGATCAGAAAACGGACTAGAGGAGGAAAAGATTTTAGTGTTTATTAAACAAGTCCAAGTGCTCATAATTTTATTATCTAATAAAGTTAGTTGTTTTAATTTTTCTATTTTTCATATAATTT